CAACACTGACAAAGAAACAACAAGAAATACTGTTTACCCACAAGCATAAAGAAATACATATATTAGAAACCAACACTTTCTCATTACTTTTCCAGATCACCAGACTGGGCCACAGCAATGCTTGGCAGGGGATGGCTAGTATTTAATAAAAATAATATTTCCAACAGACCTTCTCAACCTCTGAGGATGCTTGCCATAGATGCAGGCGAAACGTCAGGAGAAATGCCTCTAGAACATGGCCATATAGCCCGAAAAAACCCACAAGAACCTAGTGATTCCAGCCATGAAAGCCTTCGACAATACAAAAATAATATGCTTCCTCTGCACACACACGGAAACATCTATACCAGGGGTCCTCAAACTTTTTAAACAGAGGGCCAGGTCACAGTCCCTCAAACTGTTGGAGTGCCAGATTATCTATATATATAAATCTGTAAGGGGCATCCAACGGGACAGCAAAACTCAAAAAAAAAAACTCCAACGAAAATTAACCAAAATTCCCATGCACCTACCACAACCCACAAGGTACAAACAAATCGAATCAAAATAAAAAACAACACAACAACACACTCACAAAACGACAAAACAACTGAGCATGCGCAATGGCACCCAGCCGCAAGTTCCCTGGCGCGCGCACATGGCCTGCCGGCCAACGCTCCCTCCGCGCAAGCCACGCCCCCATCCTCCGTCACCCCGCCCCGCGCGATCACCCCAAACCATGGCCCCTCCCTCCCCCTGCCTTCCTCCCCCTCTTCTCCCTCCATCTAACCCCGCCCACGCCTTCTCTAAGCCTGCCCTGTCAAAACCATCCCTCCTCCCCCTCCGAGTCAATCCTTCCCTCCTCCCACCCCCCTCCAGTAAGACACGCCCCCTTCCTTCGCCCCCCCGAAGGAAGGAAACAGAGAAGGAAACATGGAAGCAAGGAGTGAAGGAAAGAAGGAAAGAGGTAGAGAAGGAAGAAAAGAGAAAGAGGAAATGAAGAGGGATGGAAGAGAAAGAAAGAGAAAGAGGGGGGAAGGAAGGACAGACAAAAGAAGCATCTATTTTAACTTGAGATATATGGGATTATTATTGGTGGCCCAATAATTTGTTATTGTATTTGTATATGTTTTTTAAACTGAGATTGTTTTTAAAATGCTGTAAACCGCAATTGAGTCGCCGTTCTAGGCTGAGAAATTAGCGGTATACAAGTGTACCAAATAAATAAATAAATAAATATAAATAAATTTGGTTTTGCCTGTAGGGTGGTAGGAAGGAAAGAGGCAGAGAAGGAAGCAAGAGAAAGCGAAGGAAAAGAAAAAAGGAAGAAGGAAAGAGGAAGAGAAGGAAGGAAGGAGAGAAGGACAGAAAAGGAAGGAAAGAGGTACCGAAGGAAGGAAGAAGAGAAAGTAGAAAGGAAAGAAAAATAAAAGGAAGGAAAGGCAGGAAAGAGGTAAAGAAGGAAGGAGAAAAGGAAATAAAAAATGAAAGAAGGAAGGAAACATGGAGGGAAGAAAGGAGGCAAAGGAAGAAAGGGGGAGGGAATGAAGGAAAGAGAGAAGGATGAAACCAAAGAGCGAAAGAAGGAAAGAAAGAAAGAAAGAAAGAAAGAAAGAAAGAAAGAGGAAGAAAGGAGAAAAAGGGGGAGAAAAGGGGGGAAGGAATAGGTAGGTACCTCTATTTCATAATACTCCAGATATCTACCTCTACTTTGAAAAGATTTACTATAGGCCACAGCAACGTGTGGCAGGGTACAGCTAGTAATTGCAAAAAAGCATGAATGTATTCCTATGCACACTGCACATATCTTATTATAGTGCAAAAAACACTTTAAAACAATACAATAATTAAAATGAAGAACAATTTAAACAAATATAAGCTTATTAGTATTTCAATGGGAAGTGTGGGCCTGCTTTTGGCTGATGAGATAGGATTGTTGTTGTTGTTGTTGTGTGCTTTCAAGTCGTTTCAGAGTCAGAGGTGTTAGAAACATTGTGGGTCAGACTGGATGGCCCTTGTGGTCTCTTCTAAATCTATAATTCTATGGTCTTGTTTTTAGACATCAAAGCTGTCCATACAAGGATTGGGGCTGTGGACCTCTTTCCCAAGTTCTGAAACTAATGATAACCTTTCTTTCAAATCCTCTGCCCTGATTTCCCCGCCCTTCAGCAGATGGTTCTCATATCAGGAGATTGGGATTATGCCGGTCGGTCGTTGGGATCCCCTTTCTCCTACTGATAGCAGCTCGGCGAAAGTGTTTGTTCTTCTAGTTAAAGATAAACGAGAGAGAGCAGCGGCAGGATTGGTAGAAAGTGATTCCAGTCTGAAACCTTTGAGAGAAGCTGCCAGCCAGTACAGACACTACCAGGCTAAATGGATGGTTAGTATCCATACTATAGTAGTAAGCCTTTAAATATGTGTGTGTGTGTATAAACATTAAACATTAACATACAATTGTAAACATAATACAATAATCTTAGAATCCTAGATTTGGAAGAGACCTCCTGGGCCATCCAGTCCAACCCCCTTCTGCCAAGAAGCAGGAACATTGCATTCAAAGCACCCCCGACAGATGGCCATCTACTTAAAAACCTCCAAAAAAGGAGTCTTAGGAGGAGAGTAATGACCAATCTCGATAAAATAGTGAAGAGTAGAGACATCACACTGGCAACGAAGAGCCACATAGTTAAAGCAATGGTATTCCCTGTAGTCACCTACGGATGTGAGAGCTGGACCTTAGGGAAGGCTGAGCGAAGGAAGAGAGATGCTTTTGAGCTGTGGTGTTGGAGGAAAGTGCTGAGAGTGCCTTGGACTGCGAGAAGATCCAACCAGTCCATCCTCCAGGAAATAAAGCCCGGCTGCTCACTGGAAGGAAGGATACTAGAGACAAAGTTGAAGTACTTTGGCCACATCATAAGAAAAGAAAGCTTAGAGAAGACAATGATGCTGTGGGAAATGGAAGGAAAAAGGAAGAGAGGCCGACCAAGGGCACGATGGATGGATGGCATCCTTGAAGTGACTGGGGGTGGCCATGGCCTATAGTTAGCTCTGGCCTGGGCTGGTCCAGGAGGTCACACAGAGTTGAAAACGACTGAACGAATAAACAACAATAACCTGCTTCAAGCTGCAAGGAGAGGCTGATCATAAATAAATATATTTTTGGGTTGTTGTAGGTTTTTTCAGGCATTATGGCCATGGTCTAGAGGCATTCTCTCCTGACGTTTTGCCTGCATCTATGGCAAGCATCCTCAGAGGTAGTGAGGTCTGTTGGAACTAGGCAAAAGGGTTTATATATCTGTGGAATGACCAGGGTGAGACAAAGGACTCTTGTCTGCTGGAGCTAGGTGTCAATGTTTCAACTGACCACCTTTATTAGCATATAATCTCATCTCAGCCTTCTCTTCTTCAGGCTAATCATGCCTAGCTCCTTAAGCCGCTCCTCATAGGGCTTGATACTTTTTTATTGGGGGGGATTAGTTACAATGTTGTTGTTGTTCATTTGTTCAGTCGTCTCCGACTCTTCGTGACCTCAAGGACCAGCCCACGCCAGAGCTCCCTGTCAGCCGTCACCACCCCCAGCTCCTTCAAGGTCAGTCCAGTCACTTCAAGGATGCCATCCATCCATCTTGCCCTTGGTCGGCCCCTCTTCCTTTTGCCTTCCACTTTCCCCAGCATAATTGTCTTCTCTAGGCTTTGCTGTCTCCTCATGATGTGGCCAAAGTACTTCAACTTTGTCTCTAGTATCCTTCCCGCCAATGAGCAGCCGGGCTTTATTTCCTGGAGGATGGACTGGTTGGATCTTCTCGCAGTCCAAGGCACTCTCAGCACTTTCCTCCAACACCACAGCTCAAAAGCATCGATCTTCCTTCGCTCAGCCTTCCCTAAGGTCCAGCTCTCACGTCCGTAGGTGACTACAGGGAATACCATGGCTTTGACTAGGCGGATCTTTGTTGCCAGTCTGATGTCTCTACTCTTGACTATTTTATCGAGACTGGACATTGCTCTCCTCCCAAGAAGGAAGCGTCTTCTGATTTCCTGGCCACAGTCTGCATCTGCAATCATCTTTGCACCTAGAAATACAAAGTCTGTCACGGCCTCCACATTTTCTCCCTCTATTTTCCAGTTGTCAATCATTCTTGTTGCCATAATCTTGGTTTTTTTGATGTTTAGCTGCAACCCGGCTTTTGCGCTTTCTTCTTTCACCTTGATTAGAAGGCTCCTCAGCTCCTCCTCACTTTCGGCCATCAGAGTGGTGTCATCTGCATATCTGAGGTTGTTAATGTTTCTTCCAGCAATTTTCACCCCAGCTTTGCATTCATCCAGCCCCGCACATCGCATGATGTGTTCTGCATACAAGTTAAAAAGGTTGGGTGAGAGGATGCAGCCTTGCCGTACGCCTTTCCCAATCTTGAACCAGTCTGTTGTTCCGTGGTCAGTTCTGATTGTTGCTACTTGGTCCTTGTACAGATTCCTCAGGAGAGAGACAAGGTGGCTTGGGATGCCCATCCCACCCAGAACTTGCCACAATTTATTATGATCCACACAGTCAAAGGCTTTAGAGTAGTCAATGAAGCAGAAGTAGATGTTTCTCTGAAACTCCCTGCCTTTCTCCATTATCCAGCGGATATTGGCAACCTGGTCTCTCCTTCCTCTGCCTTTACCTACCATTGAAAATTACCTAGGGCCGCCTCTGCCTAGACCTATTGTATGATCCTTTCCCGTCCTACTCCATCAGTTCTGGAAGCCCATGTGTAGAATTAATTCAGTTTGACACCACTTTTAACTGCCATGGCTCAACACTGTGGCATTATACTACATCTCCCAGGATCCCATAGCACTGGGTCATGAGGAAGCGGGTGAAATCGTTGCGCGGTCCCTCCTCGTCATTCCTTTGAGCCTGAGTCGGGTCACGCATGCGCAATGGGCAGGCTTGTCCTGATCCCAGGGAGGGAGGGAAAGGGAAGTCTCGCGCGGGCTCGGAGGGGGCGGGGCGGAGGGGGCGGGGCGAGCGGGGCCTTAAAGGCGCGGTGGGCGGGGCCAAGAGGACGCTGTGTATTTTGGTCGGATGCCTCAGCGTTCTGAAGGGCCCCGGAGGGCGGGAGGCAGGGAAGGAAGGCGGCACGTGGAGCGGAGCGGGGCCCGGGCCCAGGCCGAGCAGAAGCCTCCCAGGACGGTGAGAGGGGCCTGCTTTGGGGCCCTTGCGCGCCCTTCCGGTTCTCCTGCCTTTGCCCCATGGCGGGGGGGGGGGGTGTCTCAGCCCTTTAGTATTGTTGTGATATTACATACAAGGCTTGGATTTCCAACCAAGTTTGCAGGAGGCCCCTCTATTGGTATTCTATTACTATCATTATTGTGTTGTCTAGGGACTTCATGGCCGGAATCACTGGGTTGCTGTGAGTTTTCTGGGCTGTATTGCCATGTCCCAGAAGCATTCTCTCCTGACGTTTCTCCCACATCTTTGGCAGCCCTCCTCAGAGGTTATAAGGAGGGGAGAAAGGTCTCTTGTTTGCTGAAGGTTGCAGCAGACAAGAATGGCCTTGCAGATTCAAAGCGTGGCTGCTTCCAGCCTGGGGAGGAATCCCAGGTTGGGAGGTGTTAGCTGGCCCTGATTGTTTCCTGTCTGGAATTCCCCTCAGAGATTGTGAGGAGGGGAGAAAGGTCTCTTGTCTGCTGAAGGTTGCAGCAGACAAGAATTGGCCTTGCAGCTTCAAAGCCTGGCTGCTTCCTGCCTGGGGAGGAATCCTAGGTTGGGAGGTGTTAGCTGGCCCTGATTGTTTCATGTCTCGAATTCCCCTCAGAGATTGTGAGGAGGGGAGAAAAGTCTCTTGTCTGCTGAAGGTTGAAGAAAGGAATTTCCCGCCACCTCGGTTGGTGATCCTGTTGATGCTCTGGTCGCTCTCTGGAATGGGGAGATGACTAGGGCAATAGACACGATCGCTCCAGAACGTCCCCTCTCAAGTAGCCGAGCTAAACCAGCTCCTTGGTTCACGAGGAGCTGGCAGCGTTGAAGGGAAAGAAGAGGGAACTAGAGAGCGTGTGGCGTTCGGATCCGAGCGAGCCAAACCGAACACGGTTTGTGTCCTTTTTAAGGGCATATGCCGCAGCAATAAAGGCCGCAAAGAAAACTTTCTTTGCGGCCACTATTGCGTCTGCGAAGAACCGTCCGGCTGAACTGTTCCGAGTTGTCAGAGGCCTATTAAACCCGCCACTCAGGATGGGTGCCCTGATGACTCGGCAGCTTGCTGCGAAGCTTTTGCTCGGTTCTTCGCAGACAAAGTCGCTTTGATCCGCTCCGGACTGGATACCATATTAACGGCAGTATCTGAGGATGTAACACGAGCATCTGCTTGTCCGGTTTTGATGGATTCATTTCAATTGGTTCAATCCGAGGATGTGGACAAGATGCTTGGAGGAATGAGAGCTACCACATGCATCCTAGACCCCTGCCCATCCTGCCTTCTAAAGGAGGCCAGAGGGGGATTGGCTGAGTGGGTGGAGGTGGTGGTTAATGCCTCCCTTCGGGAAGGCAAAATTCCAGCCAGCTTAAAGCAAGCTGTAAAAACCGCTGTTGAAGAAACCATCACTGGACCCCACTCAATTCGTCAACTATCGGCCTGTTTCCAATCTCCCCTTTTTGGGCAAAGTCATGGAACGTGTGGTGGCCTCACAACTCCAGGCATTCTTGGTAGACACGGATTATCTGGATCCGGCACAGTCTGGCTTTAGGCCGGGGCATGGTACCGAGACAGCCGTGGTCGCCTTAGTGGATGATCTGCGTCGGGAGCTCGACAGGGGGAGTGTGTCCCTGTTGGTGCTGCTGGACCTCTCAGCGGCCTTCGATACCGTCGACCACGGTATCCTTCTGGGACGCCTCGCGGGGATGGGTCTTGGAGGTACTGTTTTGCAGTGGCTCCGCTCATTCCTCGAGGGTCGGTCTCAGAAGGTGTTACTGGGGGACTCCTGTTCAACCCCACAACCTTTGTCTTGTGGGGTTCCTCAGGGTTCAATATTGTCTCCCATGTTGTTTAACATCTACATGAAGCCGCTGGGCGAGATCATCCGGAGTTTCGGAGTGCGATGTCACCTGTACGCAGATGATGTTCAACTCTGTCACTCCTTTCCACCTGCTACTAAGGAGGCTGTCGAGGTCCTGAACCGGTGCTTGGCCGCTGTGACGGTCTGGATGGGGGCGAACAAATTGAAACTGAATCCAGACAAGACAGAGGTACTCCTGGTTAGTCGCAAGGCCGAACAGGGTATAGGGTTACAGCCTGTGTTAGACGGGGTCGCACTCCCCCTGAAGACGCAGGTTCGCAGTTTGGGGGTGATCCTGGACTCATCGCTGAGCCTGGAACCCCAGGTTTCGGCGGTGACCAGGGGAGCTTTCGCACAGTTAAAACTTGTGCGCCAACTGCGACCGTACCTTGGGAAGTCTGACTTAGCCACGGTAGTCCACGCTCTGGTTACATCCCGCCTTGACTACTGCAACGCTCTCTACGTGGGGTTGCCTTTGAAGACAGCCCGGAAGCTCCAACTAGTCCAACGGGCGGCAGCCATGATACTAACAGGAGCGGGGCGCAGGGAGCACACAACTCCTCTGCTGTACCAGCTCCACTGGCTGCCGATATGCTACCGGGCTCAATTCAAAGTGCTGGCGTTGGCCTTTAAAGCCCTAAACGGTTCTGGCCCAACTTATCTATCCGAACGTATCTCAGCCTATCAGCCCACCAGGACCCTAAGATCTTCTGGGGAGGCCCTGCTCTCTATCCCACCGGCTTCAGAAGTGCGGCTGGCGGGAACGAGAGACAGGGCCTTCTCTGTGGTGGCCCCTCGGCTTTGGAACACCCTCCCTATAGAGGTACGATCAGCCTCCTCGCTGATGGTGTTTCGGAAGAGATTGAAAACTTGGATGTTCAAACAAGCATTCGGTTAATCCGGTGCAATGAATTTGATGATCAAAGGACTGGTAATCATAGACGACGAAATTGGATTGCGATTTTAGTTAAGAGATGCATTGGATTGTTATTGGTGGCCCAATACTGTGTACTGTGTATGTGTTTTTATGCCTTTTAAATTGAATATTGTTGTTTATTGTTGTAAACCGCAATGAGTCGCCGACTTAGGCTGAGATATTAGCGGTATACAAGCGTATAAATAAAAATAAAATAAATAAATAAGTGTACACCTGCTTTTGGCTGATGAGATAGGGTTGTTGTGTGCTTTCAAGTAGTTTCAGACTTAGGTTGACCCTGAGCGAGGTCCAGGTAAATGACCTTGGAAGGCTGTATCCGGCCCCCGGGCCCTAGTTTGAGGATCCTAACTTTACAGAATTTATATGCTGCCCTTCTCACCCCGAAGAGGACTCAGAACAGCTTACAAGATACATACATACATATATATACACACACACACACACACACACAATATATTATATTATTAGCATAGCACAATATCAGTATTATATATTACTGTATTGTACTATACCATGATATTGTAATATTATTACTAATATTACATGTAATATAAAATATATAATTATAATATTGTATTATTATTTATATTATTAGTCTTAAATTGCATTACATTATAATGTTATAAATATGATATGTAAACACAATCTATTATATTATATTATATTATATTATATTATATTATATTATATTATATTATATTATATTATATTATATTATATTATATTATTAGCTTAGCACAGGAGGCAATATCTGTGGAATGATGTCCAGAGTGAGAAAAAGAACTTTTGTCTGTTGGAGGCAAATGTTGCAATTGGCCATCTTGATCAGCATTGAATGGTCCTTGCAGCTTCAAAACCTGGCTGCTTCCTGGACAGTAAATAAAGAGCAACACTAAAAAAGGGGGGAAATTCTGACAGGAAACAACCAGGGCCAGCTAACACCTCCTAGCAAAGGATTCCACCAGGCAGGAAGCCGCCATGCTTTGAAGCTGCAAGGCTATTCAATGCTAACCAAGGTGGCCAATTGGAACATTCCCACTTGCCTCCAACAGGCAAGAGTTCTTTCTCCCACCCTGGACTCCCCAGGCAGGAAGCAGCCAGGCTTTGAAGCTGCAAGGCTATTCAGTGCTAACCAAGGTGGCCAATTGGAACATTCCCACTTGCCTCCAACAGACATAGAGTTCTTTCTCCTACCTTGGACTCCCCCAGGCAGGAAGCAGCCAGGCTTTGAAGCTGCAAGGCTATTCAGTGCTAACCAAGGTGGCCAATTGGAACATTTCTACTTGCCTCCAACAGACATGGAGCCCCCGATGGCGCAGTGGGATAAAGCACTGAGCCGCTGAGTTTGTTGATCAAAAGGTTGCAGGTTTGATTCCGGGGAGCGGTGTGAGCTTCTGCTGGCAGCCCTAGTTTCTGCCAACCTAGCAGTTAGAAAACATGCAAATGTGAGTAGATCAATAGGTACCGCTCCGGCGGGAAGGTAACGGCGCTCCATGCAGTCATGCCGGCCACATGACCTTGGAGGTGTCTACGGACAACGCTGGCTTAATGTCAGGGGACTACCTTTACCAACAGACAAGAGTTCTTTCTCCCACCCTGGACTCCCCCAGGCAGGATACAGCCAGGCTTTGAAGCTGCAAGGCTATTCAATGCTAACCAAGGTGGCCAATTGGAACATTCCCACTTGCTTCCAACAGACCAAGAGTTCTTTCTCCTACTCTGGACTCCCCAGGCAGGAAGCAGCCAGGCTTTGAAGCTGCAAGGCTATTCAATGCTAATCAAGGTGTCCCGTTGCAATAGTCACACTTGCTTCAAGCAGACAAGAGTTCTTTCTCTCCACAGACACATAATCCCCACTTGCCTAGTTTCCAACAGACCTCACAACCTCTGAAGATGCCTGCCACAGATGCAGGCGAAATGTCAGGAGAGAATGCTTCTGGAGCCTGGAAAACTCACAGCAACCCAGTGATTCCGGCCATGAAAGCCTTCGACAACACCTTTTCCAAAGTGCCTTCCTTGGAGCGTTGTGTGGCTTTAAGGACCCCCCCACTCAAAAAAAAAAATGCTCAGATTTTCCCCCTTTTCACAACTTTTCAGCTTGAACGACTATACTTTGCATTGTGCCCAGAAATGTATGAAGAGACCCGGTTGAGAGGAAGTGTCTTCTGTGCCTTGGAGGGAGCCTTGACTCACCCTTCCCT